GTCTTAGGTACTCGGTGAACGAGTCAGAATCAACCAGCACAGGCACTGGTGGATCAGGGGGGGTGAAGTAGCTCTAAATGGGACATGGGGGGGAAGGAGTTTTTATCTGAAGTGAAACTGCTGCTTTTCTATCTAAGGTTTTTTTGAAGCTCTTGAATTTCTTCACATTTTGTCATAATACAACCACAAACTGCAATACATTTCATTCTGATTTAATGCCATGAAGCAGCAATAAATTGAAACATAACTGTGAAGTGGAAAGAGAAATATAGACTTTGTACAAAAAAAAAAAAAATCTGATTATTTCACTTATTAAAACATTTTCCCATTTACAGTACTTGGAAAAATTTTCATGACCCTCATTTTTTTTAGTTCTGTTTAAGTTTGTTAAGTTTTCTGTTATACTTTGATTCATATATATTACGTGTTTCTAGTTTATTGGTTTCATTTCCATTTTGTGTTATTCTAGTTATTTTTTTTTATTGTATTTGAGTTCTTGGGTATTTCTTGTTTGTCCTCTGCTGCCCTCTTGAGTCAGTCTCTTTTTCCCTAGCTCCCTTCTAGACTGCTCTGTCCACACCTGCTCCCACTCTCATAATTAGGCTGATCTTTGTTCAGTCTGCCATTTAGAGGCTCTGTTCGAAATTCTGGGCTGCATCCTCCAAGGACGCGGTCTGCCTAGACTGGATCCTTCGAAGTGCGTGGAAATAAGGAGACAGGAAGTGTTTTGGCTGTGAATTCGAACAGGTCTATCCTTTGGCGGGTTTTACCGCCGTATGCTCTGTTGCTTAGATACCATGAAAATTGAAACACAAAGCAGGGAAAAAAATGAATACCGAAGTTTTCAAAACTGTTTGTTTATTTATTTTTTATTAATTGATATTTAATAATGATAGAAACCTCAGTCAGTTAAATAACCTGCTGCTGTCATTCTGCACATCTCTGATGTTGCTGCTATTTTCAAATATCAATTAATGTAAAAATGTCCATAGCTGCATATTGGTTATTAATTCTCCAGTTTTATATTGTTAAAACACTTTACAGAATTTAATTGTTTATCTTTTAACTCTTATACAGTTTTCTAAGGTCCTCATTTGTGTGACCATTTTCAATAATCTTTCTGCTGCTGTAAATTTGCCCATTGTGGGACAATAAAGGGATTTTCTATTCTATAAAAGGAGTAGAAATATATAAGTAAATCTAAACATTGTATGTATAAAAATCTATCTGTATAAAAATCTAACAGCAATAAAAAAATGAAACTATCAGATTTATAGTCCCCACCCTGCAGATCTATTAGAATCTGTCCTTAAATTCCAGCCAAACTCATTTACACAGTAACAGATTAAAACCTTTAGATAAACCAAACATTACCGCCACATATCTGACTCAATAACCATTAAAACAACTATTTTCTTTTATTTCAGACGGAACTATTCACACACTGGATTATAATAAACTGAACTTCCAATTTTCACCACTGTTCAGCGCCAAGTAACCTTTCCTCTGATCACAGCTTGCTTGGTCTCGCAATGAATCCTGGGTAAACCAAGGATACCGAGGATACATCAGACCCGTCCTTCAAATTGGGCAAAAAGAAGGACGCATTTTAAGGTTGCATAACGAAGAGTCTTGGAATCCGACCAGACCTCAGCGCCACGCTATGACGTAATCGTCCTTCGAATCTGGCCTTCTAAGGACGCGTCCTAGGTTTTCGAACAGAGCAATACACCTTATGTTCAGTCACAGTTTGCTGGTTCCCTGTTGTTGTTTTGTTGCTCTGCCGTTTCCTGGCTTCTCATGGGAATTTTTCCCTGACCTTATCTCATTTTTGGTTCTCAGTATTTTTTGGATTTTTGCTTCTGTTGCCTTGGACTACCTTATTAAATCTGCAAAATTCACCTCTGCCTCCTGATCTCTGCCTTTGGGTCCTCACAAACCTCTACCTTACCCTGATTAAAGTAACTAAAGCTCCAACAAACAGAATGTGGAACTTCAGTCATCAAGGCTACTTTGCTCAAATCTTTGGATTTTCTTCATGAATCAGATTATTTTGACTGGTTATTTCCATTACTTTGATATTGTCGACTACATCTGACTTCAGTGTGAACACGCTATGGCTCCACGCTGACCCACAGGTGAACAATAAGAGTATCCTACCAGGGAGCAAAACAGTGACCATGACGCAATAGGTGCTTTGGTGCAAGTGTACCACAGAAACGATTTATTGTGTCAATGGGTGCTGTGTGGAAAACACATGAATAAAGGGAGAGTGGAACTTTGTTGTGGCGTTTTAGGGAGATTTGACTGACATTTCAGCAGAGACAGAGCAAGCACTGGTGGGGCAGGAATGTTAATTTTACAGGGACAGTTTATTGAGGGCTGAATATTTAGAGATGCAATGTACAACATTAACATGGTTAATGGCCAAAGGCAACAGTAATTATACAGCTTAGGATTTTGGGTGTTTACCTGATGCAGAAAAGAAATTTCAGTCATGGAATCCAAAGAGTAAGGAAATATATCATGTTATAGGTAAATATACAGTTTTAGCTATTCAAAATCTCCCTACTTTGCTTGATGGGCCCCTGTCTGGTTCTTGTCTGGTCCCCTACAATTAGTTTTTAAACATCAATCTTTGTACTAAACTATTCTGTCACTATTTTTGGACATTAAGATCTAAAAAGAAGCACCATCTCCCTGTAATTTAATAAAAGGGTGGAGTCAGAGTAAAAAAATATGCACCCCCAGGAGAAGGAGGAGGTGCTCGGTGAACGAGTCACACCTCAGTTGAATTTAGAGCGAGTGGGCCAGCCATTACTCACATATAACATTTGATTTTGTCATGATTTAATTTTAAAGGTCTGACCCCAACATGCAGAAGACCAAACAGAGAGACCAGGGAAAGGTTTAAACAGGTTTATTTGAAATAAAGGTGATGCATCCAGTGCTGCTTTGAGCACTGCTCAACAGGGACTGAAAGGTGAGGGGAAGACACTGTGGTTAGTTTAGGCTCAGTGGGAAATTTGAATTTTTGTTTTTGCATAGGAGGAAAAGGTTGCAGACTCACTTCTCCAGGAAAAGGGTGTCCTTTATGGAATCCAGACTGTGAGGATTGTACTTGTACTTGTCTTGTTTGGTGATGGGTAGACTGGGTTACTCAGACTGCGGTTGTTGACTGCCCCTCTGATTTCCTGCGGTACTTGAACGGGCTGCGGTGCTGAAGAAACCTTTGCTTGGTGTGAAGCTCAAACGACCTCTTGGGGAAAGTGGGTCCTAACTTCCTGTTTGGAACCCCAGTTCAGTTAGAAGCTCAGTTGAACCTTTCAGAGAGAGAAGGACAGAACAAATCCAGTTTGCAGGTTGACTTCCTGCCAAGAGGCAAAGACAAAAACAAAGTTAAGACTAAGTTTATAAAAAACTCAGCTTGGCTAGAGAATCCAAAACTGGCAAACTAAGGCCCCGTCCACATGAAGTCAAACCCTGGCCTAAATTCAGAAATTTTTCACCAAACCAGCCTCTCATCCATACGAAGCCGGCCTTTCGGGGGTCTGTAACAATCTTGTTTTTATTAAGCCTTCAGAGTGGGAAGATTTTGAAACGCCGTTTTCGCGGTTCCATCTTTAAGCTCTGACCGCATTTTTTTTTTACACGCATGCGTCATAGCGTCACCTCTAAACACGCATGTGCGACACAGTATCACAATAACAATGGCGCCGTACTGTGTTGAATGGTTGCTGCTAATGCTACTCACCCTGCTGTCGGGCTTACAACAGAATCTTCTTCTTCTGGAATATCTCCAGGAAGAACAGAGCAATATCGACAACATAGTTCAGCACCTGAATTTGACTGAACCACGAAAATGGACCCGCAGGGCAACCATGTATAAATATTAGTGCGCATGCCCAACATTTCGTTGCCTGTTTTCGCCTATTTTTGCTTTGGCACCACAGCGCCACTTACAGGCCTGGCATACATTTTGCAGCATTTTCATGCATTCATGTGGTTGATCACATTTATTTTACACCTCTACGACTCTGCTAAACTAAGCATGGCTAGAGTACCCTGTATTGGCAACACTCTGGCGACGAGGTAGTGGCAGTCAGCAGCTTAAAAACACTCCACAGATAATGAGGCAATGAGCTGCAGGTGTGCAGGGAGAACCAATGACGACGGGGCACCACCTGGTGGAGGAGGAAAGGAAACACAAAAACAGAACACACAAACTGGATTCCTGACAGATTTAAAGCATTCCCTGGCAGCTTTGGCTGTTTAGAGAATACATCTGATTAATAGAAACCTTCACCCAGACTTTTGCAGCTTCTACCAGCTTTTCACATATTTTCTTGCAAGAGAAAAGTACCCACACAGCATGATAGTGCCACTACCATGTTTCATTGAGGAATCATTGTTTTTAAAACAATGTGCAATGGTAGTTCTCAACCACACAAAGCATTATAATTTAGGCCAAAAATGTACATTTCAGTCTTAACTTTTCTTCCATATTAACAAGTCTTCCAATGGCTTTCTTTCCATCAAAGCTCTTTTTATTTTAATTTTTTTAATTTTAGGCAAATTCGCTAAGATTGTTGTCAAAGAGGCATATTGTTCTTCATAAGCTGTGAATCTCTGCAGCTCTAGTGTGTTTGATTAGATCCCAGGAAAATATAACAGTCGCATAGATTCTACAGTCAGCTGTAAATTTTGATCATTTCCAGGATTTAAAAATGCTATGCCCTTGCCTTGTGTTAGAATTGTTTAAATGGTAAAAAAAGATGTTCTCACATGAGAAAAACTCCCACACATCCTTTCACTCTGACAGCGTTTAATTTGAGTCTCCATGTGTTAATTTGTGCCTCAATGAAAACTGATGTGAAATTTAGGAGTGGGTGTTTTTGATTCAGGGCTTATTTTTTTTTTTTCTAAAATGTATTTAGAGGCATGACATCTTATTAAAAAGTACACAAAAATCAAACTTTTTGTTTCCTCTGTTTTCACAGATGACGTGCCTCCCTATTTTAAGACCGAGCCGGTGCGAAGCCAGCTTCACCTGGAACGAAATCGCTTGGTTCTGACTTGCATGGCGGAGGGAAGCTGGCCGCTGGAATTTAAATGGATCCACAATACCACCGAACTAACACGATTTTCACTGGAGTACAGGTGAGAGATAACTCAGCCATAAATGACTGAATTCATCCTATATCATCACACAAAATTATTTATCTGCACTTCCATTTTTACTCCATTCTACATAAAGTTTGCAGCTTTTGGTTCTCTCTAATATCTGTCTTCAAATTGTAAATTAGATTACTATGTTCTTTGGAAAAACACACAACAAATGCCTTTTTCAACACTTTGTTTTAATCCACAACTTCAACTTAACTAATATTGACAATAATGAAGAATTAAATGCTGGATTTGACTTTATTAAATTAAAAGTTTTGAGTTTAATGGTAAACTATCTGAATTACTCATTAAAGCAAAGTAGAACATCTGTGTTATTTTTATTTTGAGGATTTGGGGAAAAAATGGAAGAAAATTCACATTCCTGTAACAGAGCACTACCTGTTCAATAGGTTTACGGTTTTCCATGTTTGCAACAAAACTAGCAGCAGAAGTGGAGTTTGGAGATCTATCTTTACTCTCCTCTAATTTATCCAGAAATTCTAGAATTGCACTTTTTCCTCTCACTCCCAACTTTGTGATTGGCTGCATATTTAGCATGCCTTCCCTGAAAATGCCTTTCCAAGTTACTCTGTGTTAGGGTTGCCAACGGTCACTTGAAAAACTTAATCGTTCCGTAGTTACAAAAAGAAGTACCTGTCCCGTATTTAGTGGAAAAGGAACACACTTTGACCCTTATTACTGTAAGAGTAAAAAAAAGTCAGTAAAAGCTTATGGAAAATGAAAAACATTGCACGTTAGATATAAAATTTACGGAAAACTTGTTCCCAGGCCCTGTCCTGGGTTGTAACCAACGACCTGACAGAAGATAGCGGGAGACAACAGAGCATTATGGGGGACGAAATGAGTAATTTCAATGCTGATGCTGCTTTTCTCTGATGCACTCAAAGACAAACAACTTCTCACTGCAAGAGCTCAGAGGAAATACAAGTGGAAAAAGCAGGCTATCGCTACATAATGTAGCACTGAGCTAATTATTTTTTTTTCTGTTTTACAACTGTAGATTACAGTCATTGTATTTAAGGCACAAATATGTTTACAAGGTTGCACAAGTTTGCTGTTGCACCAAAAAATGTGCACTATTTATTTATTGATTTTATATTCATTTTTACCGTTAAGCAGTTAAGCAGGACAGGCTTATGTTTAAGATACTTATTTTATTCAGCAAAGTTTGTTATTTTGTATTAAAGTGAATTGTTGGATAATAATTTGCTTTCCCTGGTTCATGTCATTCACAAATACGCATCTAATTCAATGCATCTTTAAGTCAAATAGTAAAAAAAAAATCATTTCACACACAAAGAGAGGCTAAAAAATAATCACCACGGCAGGAGGGGTAAAGGCAATCGGGTCAAGTGGAACGCACATGATGTGTCCCTTTTTTTTTTTTAAAGAGTTGGCAGCCCTGCTCTTTTTATTTTGTGAAAACTTCTCATTACAAAGCAAAAATGCAGGCACACCTTCTGCATTGATAACAAAAGCAAATGATTCGCTCCATTTTTCTTTGAATCCTCCATTCTCGTCAGCCATCTTCCTTTTTTTTTCCCCTTTGGGATCCATGGTCGGACTCACCCGCTGCTTTGTTTGCATGGCACTGCGTCGCGCTTGTGTTGCAGGCTATGACCACTGATGGCTATGGCTATGATGCAAATTTTTGTTCAAGAAATGTTTACATTTATTGTTTAAATTTAAAGGATGTTTGTTTGACCTTCCGCAATACATATTAAAATAAACAAACAAACAAAAAATGAATAAATAAATAGATAAATAAAACAAAATAAACAAACAAACAAAAAAATGTACATACATTCTCTAAAAAGCTCCAGTGAGCCAAAGGGGGGCGCTAAAGAGCCAGTAGACTAGCTAGTACATCAGGGCTATATTAAATACACATTGTACAATCAACTTAAAATGATTTAAGGGTTAAAAAAATAAATAAAAATCTGGTTATATTTTTATATCAGAATAAAAACTCAGATTAGACTAAAAATGCATTCTGAAACATGCTGATAGGAATATTCTGATAGCATATAGCCAGAGCCGCAGCCACTCATGGCTGAAATATGTCACATTTGCGGATTCAGGTCAACTTTCCACTTTCAGAACTGATCCTGTAAAATGTTTACTGGCTCAGATTGTTGGCATAAACACCTCAAATGATTTACTATTTCATCCTTATTTCCGCTGAATCTGATCTGATCTGATTGCATGTTTATTCTGATTATTGCTGTCCATGTAAATTAAGCATAGGAGACGTGGAGGGTGCCATGGGAGCAGCGAGAACGCTACCTTCTCCTTTTTGCCTGGAGGAAATAAAGGAGCACAGCCAGAACTCTGCAAAATGACCTCCAGCAGGCCACTAATGTGCATTTCTCTATTCAAACTGTCAGAAACAGACTCAGTGAGGGTGGCATGAAGCGCCTCATCCACCAGTTGGGCCTGTTGTTGCCCAGCACTGCAGGGTGATTGACATTTGCAAGAGAACAAAGGGATTGGCAGGTTCACCATTAGTGCCCTGTGCTCTTCACCGATGAGAACAGGTTCCCACTGAGAATTTGACAGACGGGACAGAATCTGGGGACACTGTAGGGAATGTTGAGCTGCCTGTAAAATCTTCCAGCGAGACCGGTTTCGCGCTGGGTCAGTAATGGGGTGGGGAGGCACATCTTTGGAGGGCTGATAGCCCACCATGAGCTTTTCATGGGTACCCTGTCTGCCATCAGGTACTGGGAAGACTTCCTCTGACCAATTTGTGGCCATATGCTGCTGTAGTGGGCTATGGGCTCCTGTGGCTCATGACATGCGTGCCCGTTTCCCTTGACGACATCATGTCTCATTCCATCGGCCAATGGAACTGTCCAGCAGCTGACTGATGTTTTAATCCAGGTATGGAGGAGATCCCTGATGAGAACATCTGCCACCTCATCAGGAGTCTGCCCAGGCGTTGAAAGGAGGTCATATTGGGCCTTGGAGGCCACCCACACTTTGAAGACTTTCTATTGAAGATTAATCCGACTTTAAGAGATTTCCTTATATTCATTTAGATTATGATTCCAAATCCAGACTTCTATGGGTTCATTAGGAAGGTAGAATTAACTGGAGGGGGCATTCATGTTTGTAGCTAAATATTAGGATGATGGTTAGGAGATCTAACAGCCTCAAAGAGCTTAAGTTCATTATCAGGGATGAATGATCAAAATACTGGATAAAAAAATCTGGCTTGTGGTTTTAAAAAAGGTTATTGTGATTAAACATAGAAGTTTTAATATTTTTTAAAAATGTTCTTCTTTAAAGAGAGCCTGTCTAAGCATGAGCCCCTCGGGCCTCTTTAGCAGTGTTCCACCACTGTTGTCCAATAATGTCTCTTTACCTAACATGTGGAAAACATTCTGTGATGTGTTTGTGCAGAATTGGAATTTCCAAAGATATATTTTAAAAAACCTACTGTAATCTTTTCCCCACTTCTTACAATCAGCTAAATAAAGCATTTTGGGTGAGATTGTGCTGATTAACTTTCCTCTAGATCAGAGGTCTTCAACAGGGGGTCTGCAGAGGTACTGCATGGGGGTCGCAAAGTTTTGGTTAATTAGACTTTTAATCCCCCCTTCAATTTTTCTACTACCGGTAATTGAAATGTCTTAAATCCACATTAACATGAATTCAACACACTGTAGTAAACAGATAAATGAAGGCAGAAGATGTCTTTCTGTCATCAAGGCAGATCTGTGTTTCTGAGTAAAAATAAGTCAAATATCTGACAAAAGAGTGGAAATTAGAAGATTATATAAAAAATGTTTTGTTATTGTTGTTCCAATAAGTTTAATAGTAAGAACAGAAACATAGAAAGATAGATTTTTTTAGTTCTTCAAAAAGTCAGAGAAAGAATATCAAGATTTGACACATAAAATATCTAAAAACATGACTTTTTTAGATAGTCTTTAACATAATGACAAATGAACCAGAGAAAAGAGGTCAAACAGGTATAGGACAGCTGTAACCTAACATTTTTTTTATATTCCCCCTGCAATAATTTCCACTAATTGAAATATCTTCAAATACATATTAACATGAATTTAACAGACTGTAGTAAACAAATAAATGGAGGCAGAAAATGTCTTTCATTCATCAATAAACACATTCAGCGACACACAGGAGCTCTTTCAAACTGGACACCGTTTCATTCACAACACCTGTCCCATCAACCAGGAATCAGAAATACTTTAATAATCCCAGGGCAAAATTAGTTCCATTACATGACTCCATCTGTAATAGAGTGACAATAGAACCAGTGTGATATAACACAATTTCATACATTATATAAAATTAGGGGGTCCCCATCTCGCCATCAGTTTGGGGGTCCTTAGCCTGGAAAACGTTGAAGACCCCTGCTCTAGATGTTATACAACAACAACATTATAAGATAAAACTTTGGAATGATAAAGTGAAATTGCATCCACAGATTTTAAACCCTTTTGATCACCTTTTATTTTTGCACTTTTTTTCTCTGCCTCTCCACTTACCATTACGACATTTCATGCGTAGATAATGAAAACAGAGTTTGCATTTATTTCTGATCTTTTTCAAATAAGTAATAGCTTTCCATTTAGTTTTTCTATTTTTATTTCTTCTACCTCACCCTATCCGCTCCGGGCTCCGTGACCTCCATCACTGTCTCTGGAGAGGCTGCAAACAAGCAGGAGGCGTGAATGAGGGTTAGGGTAGCAGATAAACCTCCTTTAATGGTAACTGGGAGATCCTAATCATGTGGCAAACATTGCTCTTATCTTGGGCAACAGTGTGTCTGCAGCGTGAGCTTCCACTGCAGTGTATATGGAGCACCGGGGGGCTGAAGGAGAGCTCACCGACACACTAGCTGATCTTAGCTGAGCTGTCGTCCTCATATGTGAGGGGGCAAATGAATGTGGAAACAATGGAGGTTGAACATACAAGCTGCATCCGCCTTGTTGATGGAGCAC